GGCAAGGTACCCGATGCACCCTTGAAGTCGAAAACAAACTTCAAGGCACTCTCGTCGCCGAGCATGGTGGCCAACCGTGCAAAAAACATACACCTCTCGCCACTGGCCATTGTCAGCATGCAGCCAGTCGCCAGAGCTTGCACAGAGTGTGAGGTGATCAACTGGTGGGTCAGGGCTGAAAGTCCTCCCTGTATCTTGTTCACCACGGAACTCCTTGCCAGGCATAGACAGAACCAGAAGTCTTCCCGGCACCTTGCCTCGGGACCAAACTGGTCAAAGGTGACATAAAAGCCGTGTACTTTCCTGCTGTTGCTAGCCTTCAATTGATTCCCCGGGCTTATCTCGTCCGAGTACAGTGTCATGGTCCAGGCACGATCTGGCCCATTCGGATGCACATGCATCCGAGTCTGGACGAAGGCTGCGAACTGAGGAAGCTCGTGGCACAAATGCCATAAGAAAGCAGGCAGATTCAACACAGGCAATTTCACCTGAGACTCATCCTTCTGCAACTTCACGGCGATGTCTGTGATCAAGGAACCAAAAGGAGTTTGCACCTGGACGTGCTCGTCTCTGGCCCTCTTGATAGTCCTTCTGGACCCAGCTTCTGGAAGAGGAGCTTCCTTCAACTCATTCAACAGTGCCTCCAAAGCACTCTGAGACACATAATGCTTTCGACCCAGTGCAGCCAAAGGGTTCGCCATGGGCAGATAGATCCTGCTCGCGAGCTATAATAGCCCTGCAAGCGAGGGGAATTTTGCAATATTATGCATACTCGGAAGATACAAACAAGTATATACACATATGTGTATATCATCAGTCCTACAGATCTGCAAGGGCGACTGCGAAAGGAAGAAGGAATAGCAAGAACTTTAGCAGTGCATCAGGCCACACATGCATAACCACACCAGTATAAAGCCACTGCAGACTGATGTGCAAAACGGCACTGGCACAAAAGAGCTTGGATCGATCATCATGTGATTTACATGGCAAACAAACAGCAAATGCATCTTTTCTCACAGGAGGAGCACGTGCTGGCTGCATTGATTGCTTTGTGCAGAACATAGATGCATCCAGACCCCATTCATGGAGCATGCATGCCCCACATGAGCATGGCCGTGAACATTCGTCACAGCAGCATTGTACAGAGAAACTACTTGCTTTTGACATAGCAACAAGGCCTGCATCCAGGACTCCATCGGCACTTGGAGCACCCGGAGGGTCGTAGCTCCAATTTCTTCTTCAATGGCAAGGCTGCATAGTATTCTCGGGTGCCGAGTGCCGGCGCTTTTGCCGATGGCTTCTTGAGCACCTTGCCATTGCCTGCCTTCCCGAGCTTCTTGCCCTTCCCCTTGCCCTTCCCCTTGCCCTTCCCTTTGCCCTTGGACTTCGCCTGGTTGCCATCCTGCTTGAACGACTTGGAGGTCCGAGTGCTCTCCCCCTTCTTGTTGTCCAATGCATCGGATACTTTCGTGGCCTGGTCGAGCACAGCATCGTCCTCATCCAGTTCCAGTTGCACATGTGCAGTCTTTGTGGTCGGTGCCTGGCCGGGTGCCACCTGAGTCTCCGATGCCGGCACAACCTGACCACTCTTCGATGCCGATGATTGTGCAACCTGTGCAATCGCCGATGTGGATGGCTCTGCAACCTGACCACTCGACAATGTCGATGCCTGCATTGCAGCCCCACCGGTCGCCAATGCCGATGCCGGCTGTGGAACTTGACCAGACGACTGCGACCCAGCAGGTTTGAAAAGTTGCAGATTCTGCAGCATCCCCTCGGGATTCTGCGGTTGTTGCATCATCTGCTGCATGGCCTGCATGCCACGAATCCAGCCCATCATTGTCATGCCCGAAGAAGGATCTGGCATCATTCCCATGCCGAACTGCATGGGATTCGAGAACGGCTGCTGCAGCTGCATCATGCTGCCACCTCCTCCCATGCCACAGCCCCGGACTCTCCTGTCTGAGCCTCTGATAACGAGCTCTGAGGAAGCCTTGTGCACATTGGCAGGGGAAAGCTTCTCGATTGGGCACGGAGGGTCGTCTGCATCATAAGCCTGGCTGCGAAGCTCAGCAGGGAGTTCGTCGATCGAGCCGGGGTAGTGCAGCAAATGGGTGCCCTGCCTCGGCACCTGCTTGACTTTCTGCTTCAAGATTTTCTTGAAAGTCACACTATGTGCATAGGACTCAGAAGGGGAGCCCAGGTTGGCCCCATGTGCAACTCCTGCTGCGAGAATTGCTCGAACCGAAGGCTCGCTTGGGCAGACCAAACGAAGTCTGGAGCATCTGCTTGCAAGGCATTCCAACTTCAAGGTGTTGTTGCTCTCTCCACCCAGTATCTGAATGTCCTTGCAGGATAGAAAATGCTCGAAACTGGTCAGGTGCTGCATGCCTCGCTTGCCTGCTGCAGCATTGGTCTGGTTTGCCACGATGCCAGCGACTGCTTCAGAGAACCTTTGAGTCTCGGCCTCTGTCCATGGGCCCTCTCGCCAAGCACTCAGCAAGGCTGTGCCATCTTGGGGCCGCAGCTTCATGCTCTGAACTCGCTGGATCATGGCCAGGACCTGGCCTTCTCGGACGGAGTCATAGTTGGAAGCGGACTTCATAGTCGCCAAGAAGCTTGTCACTGCTTGCAGATCAGCGACCACTTGGTCGGTCAAGGTGGCAGTCGACATGGTGGCCGGGTCAGGCTAGATGATACTTGCTACAAAGGAGCAGGAGCAGGCTGCAATCGGATTTATCTCTTCCTTGCACATGCAGACATGCACATGTGCAACATGTGGCTGTCGTCCACTGCCTGCGAGCATTGCCCTGCACGGCGATGTCGTCGTCTTGTACAAAGTATGCTCAGCATGCATATATGCATCATCCTTTTTATCAGTTCTTCCTGCCATATGTTGTTTGCAGCACAAACAAAATCTGCATCACGAAGACTTCATAAGCATCAAACTCACCATGCCTTTGAGCAACACCGTCAGCAAGACCATCACCGATGCAAATTCACCAACACCATTCTGCAACCACACCTAAACAAAACCTGTGTGCCTGGCACATGTTGCTGCCCCGGTATGTATATGCTGCATGCATGAATATGTATCATGATACAACATACATGCATGCTCTCATTCTCTCTCTTCTTCTCTCTGTTTCTGCAAGCATGCCAGCGACCGAAATTGCAGGGCAGCCGTGCTCGCAAACAGGTCCCATGTTTTCTCTCTTTCACAAAAAATCACTTGGGTGAGACGGTTGTCTTGGCGGCAGAACAGGAGCCCAATTTCGGTCCATACAGCTGAATGGCAGCAAGGGGCTCTCCGGATGCTTGGTCAGTGGAAGCCCAGCAAATTTGCAAGTGCATTGTTTTTTTTACATCTTATGTAAGATAATGCCTTCCGGACTTCCCGCGAGCTTCCTCTGCCAGGTCTTGAAGAACCAGAGTAGCAGTATGCCAGTCTACTTGTAGTACTATATGTAGTAGTAGTAGAAGTAGTAGTAGTAGTAGTAGTAGTAGTAGTACAGCAGCTGCAGCAGCAGCAGCAGCAGCAGCAGTAGTAGTAGTGGCAGCAGCAGTAGCAGTAGCAGGAGCAGGAGCAGGAGCAGGAGCAGGAGTAGTAGTAGTAGTAGTAGTAGTATTAGTATACAGCAGTATAGTGGATAGCACTGGTCAGCAGTGCTATGGTGGCAGTGGTGATGGTAGTGTGGTGGTGGTGGTGGTGGTGGTGGTGGTGGTGTCGGTATTAGTAAAGTATAGTACAATGATAGCATAATACAAGGTTAGTCTGACAATGGTAGAGGGGGGGG